GAGGAGGGGGGGTCGTCCTCTGCCCTGCTTCTCGCCCTGCTCCCCGCGCCGTGCTGAAGGTGAGCAGGAAGAAGATGAGAAGAAGGCCTTGGAGGGACATGCGGAGAAGGGGAGGAGCAATGGGGAGGGACATGACCGCCATCAGCTTGGATCGAGGGAGGGCGTCGACGTGAGGTCCTCACCAACCAGCTGATATTCGGCCCTACGTTCGAGCTGGAGGACCAAAGCACCTCCTCCTCCTCCTCCTGCTCCGTCCTCCTCCGCCTTGTCCTCCAGCTCCTCCTCCCCGCCCCGTTTCTCTGGCTCCTTCCTATTACTCTTCTTCCCACTTCTCAGTCTAATTCCTCCTGCTTCTCTCGCCCTCCCCCTTTCTCCTCCACCCTTTCTCCCTTCTCCTCCGTCCCTTCCTCCCTTTTCTCCTACCCCCTCGATGAGAAGAGCGAGGATCACGATGAGGATGATAAGGAGGGAGGATGGAAGGGAGGAGGACGACGAGGAGGGAGGACGATGAGGAGGAGAAAGGACCAAAATCTCCACGTGTCCCTGGAGTCGGCCCTGGCGTGGTCGCGGGTGAACGCCTTCAGCCCGCTCAACACCGGCTGCAAGATCTCGCCCCTCTGAGCCGCGACCGTTCTCTTGTCCTCGTTGTCCTTCTTCTCCCTACAACTACCGAATATGAATACAACGCCCCTCTCTCACCTGACTATGTCCTGGACGTGTCCCGCCCTCCTTGAGCCCGTTTCTTTATTGCTTGGGGCATGACGGGCGTCATGGCCCCCGCTCCCCCCCCCCTATGACGTAACGCTCCCCCCCCAGTGCGCTCCGGGCGCTGCCGCCGTGCGCATTGGGATCCGCGTAGGTGTCCGCGTGGGAATCCGCATATGCGTCTGGTCCGCAGGCGTCGTCGTCGTCGTCATCGTCGTCGTCGTAGTCGTCGTCGTCGTCCGTCGTCGTCGCTCGTGGTCTGTCGCTCGTCGCTCATCGTCGTCGTGCGCGCGGACGCGGCTGGAGCTTGTTTTTAGGTCCAGGCTGATGACGGCAATCATCTGGGGGTGGAGGGGGTCGATGACGTCACGTTTCGCGCCGGCGGCGTCTGGGAATGCTTAGGAATGACGGAGGACGGGTAGCACGAACATGTAGGTGGCGATATGCACCACAACGCCTGTGTACATCACAGTGCCCGCGTGCACCACAGCGCCTGTGTACACCACACCGCCGATGTACACCACAGCAGCCGCGTGCAACACAGCGTCAGTTTGTGCCACCGTGCCTGCGGGCACAGCAGCTCCTGTGTACACCACAGCGCCTCCGTACACCACATCAGCCGTGCGCAACACAGCACCAGTGTACACCACAATGCCTGCGTGCATTGCAGTGCCTGTGTACGCCACGGCGCCTGTGTGCACCACATCAGCCGTGTGCAACACAGCACCATTGTTGTGTATAGAATCGTCCTTGTGACAAAATGGAGCGCGTGTGGATTCCAGAGAAAACAATGGAAAACAAATCCTCATGGACGAAGGAGCGCCGCTGGAATCTACGAGTCCCCCCGAGTCCGCCCGCATCACCCTAACTCCCATTTGCGTCCAGGAGGCTCCAGCTAAACTGGCCGTCCGAGAACCAAGTGGACCGATTCAATCGACCATTCTGCGGTGCACGCTGAGATGCGCACGTGCGTTGTAACGCCAAACCGCACGACAAGGGGTAAAAAGGAGGAAAAGGAGGAGGAGGAGGAGGAGGAGGAGGATGAGGAGGAGGAGGAGGAGGAGGAGGAGGAGGAGGAGGAGGAGGAGGAGGAGGAGGGAGGAGGGAAAAACGTCGCATTCGATTATCAGAAGTTTCCTGGCGTGGCGTTTAGTTGTCCGCAGCAGATCCTGACGTACATGCTCCTTCTACTGTCCTATGCACGCAGGCACTGTGGTGTACACCAGCGCTGCGTTGCACGCGGATGCTGTGGTGTAGACAGGCGCTGTGGCGTGCACAGGCGCTGCGGTGCACGCAAGCATTGTGGTGTACACAGGCGTTGTGTTGCACATGGCTGCTGCGGTGTATGTACACCGGCGCTGTAGTGCTCCCAAGTATTGTGGTACACACGGGCGGTGCGTTATCCGACTGTTCCGGTGTACGCAGGCGCTGTGGTGCACACGCGCGGCGTGGTGCACGCGAGCGTTGTGGTGCACACAAGCGCAATGGGCAGATCGCCACTTACATGCTGCTCGCGTCGTCGTCGTCGCTCGTCGCTCGTCGCTCCCTCGTCGCGTCGTGCGCGCGGGCGCGGCTGTGGTGCCGGAGCCACACGGCGGGGGGGGGGCGTCACGTCATACCCCCGCCCGCCCCCCCCCCCCATGACGCCCGTCATCGCCGAACATAAAAAAACGCGCTCCTTGGCACACGCCAGAACCCAAAAGTTTGCCTTCCATATGCTCACTGTGCATTCGGAGCGCCTTCGGCGTCTGAAAACCATGTTCCCGCTGCAGCCTGGCCCTCATATCGGCATCGGCGCTCTGCTCCCGTCGTCCAAAACGGCGCCCGCGCCGCCGCGCAGGCGCCACACTTCTGGATCCGCTTGCTTCCTGGGCGTTGTCGCCCCCCTCCTTTCCCGTCCCCCTCCCTCCCCCGGTCCTCCTGCCCCTCCCGCTCCTCCTGCTCCTGCTGCTGCTGTTCCTCCTCGTCCTCGTCCCCATCTTTCATCACACTCCTCCTCTTTCTCCTGCGCGCCACCCTGCCGATCCAACACCATATCTCCAATGTACACAGCTCGCCTTTTCAAAGTTCACATAGCAATGTGTAGTCATGTTTCAGGCTCGATATCCGCTGCGACACCCGTATGCGGATACAGAACATCGGCACAACGGGAAGGGATAGGTGGGGGGGGGGGAGGGTAGGAGGTCAGGTATGGTGCGAGCTCACCTAGATTGCCTACATACTTCTCTTCTCCCTCTCCCTCCTATCTCCCCCCCTACCTCTTGCCCTCCCTCCCTCATCCCGTTTCCCTTCTTTCCCCATCATGCCTCCCCGCCCCCTTCCCGGCTCTCATTCACAAACTTTCGCCCAGCTCGCGCTGCGCCGACCTGCCCTAGCTAGACAGCCCAGCGGAGTCTGCTCGAAGTGAAGAAGACGAGGACAATGAGGATGCGGCCAAGGATAAGCGGAAGAAGGACGAGGAGGAGGGTTCGAGGATCGAGGTTTTTGATGGATTATTTGTATATCGAGAAGGCCTTACGGCTGGTGCCGCCGACCCTAAATACGGAACTTCCATGGGGACCCCCGCTGGCCACCCCCCGGGGCCCGCTGGGAACCCGCCCCGTCAGGGAAGGGAACAAGGACAGGGAATCGACTTACATATGACGTTCTTTTTCGTTGCCTTTCAGTTTCCGTGGCACTGGCGACGACGCCGAGGACGGGGACGACGAAGATAACGGCTCAAACAGAAAAGAGTCTCACACACGCCGAAGGGTCGGCGAATCTTTGGTCTTTGCAGAGGCCTTCGCGGGGACCTCCAAAGGCCTCTGCGAACCTCTTTGGAGACCTCCAGTTACCTCAGGATCACGGGGATGATGCTGCTGATGACGATGACGATGACGATGACGATGATGATGATGATGATGATGATGATGATGATGATGATGATGATGATGACGATGATGATGATGATGATGAAGATGACGATGATGCTGATGGTGATGCTGATGCTGATGCTGATGCTGATGATGATGATGATGATGATGATGCTGATGCTGATGCTGATGCTGATGCTGATGCTGATGCTGATGCTGATGATGATGCTGATGATGCTGATGCTGATGATGTTGATGATGCTGATGAGGATGATGATGATGATGAGGAGGAGGAGGAGGAGGAGGTGGACGAGGAGGAGGAGGTGGTGGTGGTGGTGGTGGAAGTGACGGAGGGGAGGAGAGAGGAGAAGGAGCACAACCACAAGGGTGAGGCGACGGAGGAGGAGGAGGAGGAGGAGGCGGAGGAGGAGCAGCAGCAGCAGCATCATCAGCACCATCAGCAGCAGGAGGAGGAGGAGGGGGAGGAGGAGGAGGAGGGGGATGAGAAGGGGGGGGGCAGAAGGGGGGGGGAGAAGAAGGGGGGGAGAAGGGGGGGTGGGGCGAGGAGAGGGTATGGGGCGATTGGTGGGGTTTTGGCCGCAGTCGGGGTCGCCACGGCGAGTGTCACGGCTGGCCCGAAGGATTTCCATTGTCTTGGGGCGTTCTCTGCAGAGTCCGCAGCTCTGCTCGGCCACGCGCAGAGGGGGGTAGTGGGGTTGGGAAGGCTTCTTAGAAGCAACCCGTCTCTTAGAAGGCGCGGGCCTTGTCTACAGGTGTAGGCCGGCGCCTTCTAACAAGCAGCCTCCTCCTAAGGAGCCTTCCCCACCCCCTGCACCCCTGCGCGCGGCCAGTCCGCGGCGCGCCCAGTGGAAATTGCAGAAGGAGCAGGCCTTCTCAGCTCAGAAGGTTTGGGCCTATTAAGGAGCTTCCGGCGCTCCGACGCCGCAGAGAGCTTCTCGGAAGGCCAGAGGGCTTCTGAAAAGCCCTGCCGCCTTCTGAAAAAGGCCTGTCCCCTCTCACTTCTCTCCTCGGCACCCCGCCGACCAGCCGGACACGAGTACGCCTGAGCTCAAGGCTTACCCCCCTCCTCGCCAAGCGCTCCCGTCGCTCCCCTTCGCACGGGGCCCTCTGTCCTGCTGAGCCTGGTCCTGCTCCTGAGCCTTGCCCTCTTCCTCTTCGTTCTCCTCCTCCTCCTCCTCTTCCTCTTCCTTCTCTTCCTACGTTGCTAGGGCGCTGTCTGGATGGCGATTGGAAACACCGAACTAGCGATATGAGCGCGCACAGTCGCAGTTAAATCATTGAAAACAGATACCTGCAATTCAACAAATCACCTTGCGTGTTGGTTTAGAACTATAACTAATAGTACTTTCTGAAAACATGAAAGAATGAAAACATGACAACTTATCTTCCTTCTCCAGTGGCCGTTTTGTTCCAACATGGTTTTTTTGTAAATAACGACGGGAAAGAGTAGAGCGGATACCGCTGTTCCGCGTTCTCGTTTCTCGGTAAGCTCCTGGTGGAGCAACAGCCGCCCACTTCCATGGGAGACGGGGCGGTGGGTAAAGTGAGGCTTTGCCAGTTCCTGCCATCCTATCCGCTACCTTCGTCCGCATGCCAGATGCCGTCGGCGAGCGTAAGAAGAAAACGGCGAGGCCTGGCCCAGTATGCATGTTGCTCGTGGGGCTGACGCTCCTCCTCGCGCTGCAACTCACGACAAATAAGAAGATCGTGACGATCATTCCAGATCTGGGTATGGTTCGTCCTCTGACGATGGTGACGAAGGCATGGGTCTGCAGTCCTGAGATCCGCTCATCTTCGGCCTCACCGATGAACGGCTGTCCGCGAGGTCTCCGAGTGCACGCCATCTGTGCACAGGTGGGCGCTGTGGACACCAGGACCGAGAACATCGCGAGGGAAGTGGAAAGTATGCGCAGTATCTTGGCCGAGATGCGCAGCGAGTTCGCGATGGCGAATTACATGCCCCCCACCGCCGCGTCTGGACACCACAAGCTCCCAGCGAGGTGTTGTTTGAACCAGTCTGCAACTGGCGGCCACTACCATGGTACGATGCGCTGATGCTTTCTCCTCAATCGACGCTTGGTCCAAGATCTCCGACATCACGGACGGCTTTGCAGTTAATTGCGAGAAATCTGACCGTCCACCCACGGTGCACACAGGCGCTTGCAGCATCGAAAACAAGAGGGTTCAGAATTCATCGCTGCTCTTCGTCTCCCTGGTATGCGGCAACGGTCCGTTTCCCTGTGCCCGCGGCTCTGGGCGGGTCTACCCATTTGATCAAGGTGGGAACCAGCGGCAAGAAGATCGTTAACATCTTCCGCGCACCTCTTACGGAGCAGAAGTTCTGATTCGATCGCCACGTGGGTGGCTGTCGGAAAGCTGGGGCCCATCTTTCGACTTAAACCACAGCAGGGGCGGGACCCTGCGAAACCCTACTGGCATGATGCCGCGTTTGTCCAGCGCGGACGGTCCAGAATCCAGAGCTCACCTTATCCGACTTCTCGAGCGCGTCATCGGGCCGACCGCTGCTCCAGCATGAATTCTATAGGGGCTGCAGCGGCATGTTTTGCCGCCAGGTCGAGGGCGAATTGTCGCGCCCTCGCGCCAACGCTTGCGACCGCTGCGACACTTGCGCAATGCCCGTCGCCTTCATAAGGGGCTACGAGCACGCGCGCGGGAAACGCTTGCAGCGCGCCTTTCTTCCCGCGGACGTTCGCGCCCAGGCCAGCGGGGCGCCGCGTTCACGAGTGCGAGCGCAACCGCGCAATTACTCGGGTGTTGCAACAGCCCTTCGCCCTTGCGTTTGCATGCAACGTGGGCGAAGGCTCGGCGTGCATTGAATCGCATTAGCTGTGTGAATGTTGACGCGCGTGCTGCGTGGTTGCGCCGATAGTGCCACGCGCGCTCACTCTTATTATATGTATGTATATACATACATACATACATACATACATACATACATACACACACATATATATATATATATGTATATGTATATATATATATATATATATATATATGTATTATATATTATATATATATATATATATATATATACCGGGGTAGGGCCCGGGGGCGGCCCGGGGCGGTGCTTGTAATCTCCATGGGGGGTACAGGGCGCCCCCGGGAGCGTCCGAAGCGTCCCGGAGGGCCCCTGGGACCGCCAGGAACAGTTCGAGACCGCCCAAGATGGCCCGCGAGCGCTCCAAGACGCGCATAGATAGCCTCAGGAATGGCCAGGAAGGCCCGAAGACGTTCCAAGAGAGCTCCATGAGGCCCCGAAGGCATCCCAAGAGGCCTCCCAAGAGAGCGCCGACAAGCCAAAATCGTTGATTTTTATTGTTTTTGTTCGAGGTGTTTGGCCTTCTCGCTTTTTCGGGGTTCCGACGCTCCAAGACCGTCCAATAGTCTCTCAAAGCCGCTCCAAGTCGGCCGAGGAGGCCCCCAAGACCGTCCCAAGACGGCCCAAGAGACCCCGAAAATCGTCCCAAGACGGCCCAGGAGAGCCCCAAGATGGCCCAGGAGCCGCCCAAGACGGTTCCAGGAGAGCCCCGACAGGGCTTCAAGGCGAGCCCAGCGGGTCCCAAGAGGGCCCCGCGAGGCCCCAAGAGGCCCCAAAGAGGCCCCCAAGAGCCAAGAGCTTCCCCGGAGGCCCCCAAGAGGCCCCCAAGATGCCCAAAAATGGCCATGAGCGCGCCCCAAGACGCCTCCAGGAGAGCCCAACAGGCCTCCGGGCCGTACAGATGGTCAAGGAAGCTTGAAGAGGCCCCGAAGACGCCCAAAAGCGCCCCAAGAGGGCCCGTGCGAGCCCTTTCAAGAGGCACACATTGGTCCATTCCCTTCGTAAAACTTGCGTTTTCGGCAAACTCGCTGGCTTCGTCGTCGCAGTGCCACAGACGCCCCCGTGAAGCCCCAACACAGCCCGAGAGAGACCCAAGAGGGCCCCAGACGGCCCAAAAGGGTCGGCCTGTGGGACTCACGGAACCCCCCGACACGGCCCAAGAGGCCCCAAAGCCGGCCCAGGAGGCCCCCAAGACGGTCTCAGGGAGGCCCACGAGAGCCTCGTTCGAAATCATGCTCCCGGAAGCCTCTCCGGGAACATGATTTCTGGGTTCCGAGGACGCCCAAGAGGCCCACAAGACAGCCTCAGCGAGGCCCCGGAGGGCCCGAGATGGCTGGAAGATGGCCGAGGAGGGCCCCGAGAGGGCCTTCAAGAGGCACAAATCAGCCCGCTCCTGTAGTAGAACGTACATTTTCAGCATACTCGCTGGCTTTGTCTTCACAGTACCCCAGACGCCCCCGAGGAGCCCCAAGACAGCCCAAGAGAGACCCAAGAGGGCCCAAGACGGCCCAAAAGGGTCGGCCTGTGGGGCTCACGGAACCCCCCGAAACGGCCCAAGAGGCCCCAAAGCCAGCCCAGGAGGCCCCCAAGACGGCCTCAGGGAGGCCACGAGAGCCTCGTTCGAAATCATGTTCCCGGAAGCCTCTCCGGGAACATGATTTCTGGGTTCCCAGGACGCCCAAAGACAGCCCCCAGAGGCCCTGGACACGCCGAAGATGGCCTCAGGACGGCCGACGACGCCGCCAAAACGCCCCAAGAGCGCCTCCAGAAGCCCCTCCAAAGGGCCCCAGACGCCGAAAATCATTAAATTTCCAGCGGTTTTTGAACCATTCTTGCGCTTTCCCATGTTCCGCCTCCCCACGGTCCCAGACCGCGTCAGAGGCCCTTCAGATCGCTCCAAGACGGCCGAAGAGGCTCCCAAGAAAACCCAGAGACGGCCCAGGAGGCTCTCCAGATGAGTCAAGAGAGCTTCGAGAGCGCCCCAAGAGAGCCCCAAGAGCGACCCAAGAGGGCCCGAAGAGCGCGACGTTTCGAGGTCTCCGGCCTGAGAGGCTCCTAGGACGCCCCCGGAGGCCATCAAGAGGCTCAGCCCCGTGAGGCTCCCAAGAGGCCCCCCGGAAGCCCCAATAGGCCCCCAAGGGACCCCCAGGGAAGCCCCCTGCGGGCCCCCAAGACACTTCGGTAAATCGCATTTCCCAGATAGCTTTCCGGGAACATGATTCCTCGGGCTTCCGCCCACCGCCCCAACCATGTTTCCAATAGGCTTGCCGACAAGGCCAACAGGCGCCCCTCGGTAAGTCCCCAGAGGCCCCCCTCTTAGAGAGCCGAACCAATCATGCTCCGGGAAAGCTTCCCGGGAACATGATTCTCTATCTCGGAGTAGGCCCGGGGGGGGGGGGCGCTGCTTGTTCCCCCCATCGGTGCTCACCAGGAGTTGTGTGGGGGGTCCAGAGCTCCCGAGGCGGCCCGAGCCCCCCCCGAAGCAGGCCACGACAGGCCCCGAGAGGACCCAAGACGGTCCCACGAGGCCCCGAAGACGCCCAAGATACCGTGAAGACAGCCAACGAGGACTCTAACACGCTCCAGGACGGACTCAAGAGGCTCCCCAAGAGGGCCCTGGAAGGCAAGATTCTTTCGTTTTCCGAGTGTTTTGGATTTGGGCGTTCTCGCTTTTCCCGCTTTCCAGCGCACCCTCACGGCCTCGGAGGCCTTTCAGATCGCTCCAAGAAGGCCCACGAGGCCCCGACGAGGGCTCCTAGACGGCCCAGGGGCCCAGGAAGCTCCCCAGACAACCCAAGTGTGCCCCAAGAGCGCGCCAAGAGAAGGCCCCGAGGGGTCCCGAGGCGGCCTGGGCCCGCCCCGAAGCAGGGCACGACAGGCTAATGGAGGTTCCGAGAGGGCCCTAGACGGTCCCAAGAGACCCCGACGACGCCCAAGCTGCCCTCAAGACGGCCGACGAGGACTCCAACACGCTCCAGGAGGGACTCAAGAGGCTCCCCAACAGGGCCCTGGGAGGCAAGATTCATTAATTGTCCGATAGCTTTTTGAAGGATTTAGGCGTTCTCGCTTTCCCCGCTTCCCAGCGCTCCCTCACGGCCTCGCTCGGAGTCCCTTCAGATCGCGCCAAGACGGGCCACGAAGCCCCGAAGAGGGCCCCAAGACGGCCCAGGAGGCTCCCCAGACAACCCAAGTGTGCCCCAAGAGCTCCCCAAGAGAGGGCCAAAAGGGGGACCGCCAACAGATATTTCGAGGTCTCTGGCCCTAGAGGCCGCCTGTAGGCCCCCGGAGGCCACCAAGAGGCTCCCACGAAGCCCCTAGACATAAGAGTGACCTTTCGCCGGAGTGACATGTTGGTGTGGGCCCAATGGGGCCCCCCGTCCGCTGAGCGAGAAGCGGTGGCAGCGGCTTGCGCGCCCGTGTTTGGCCACCCCGCGTCCCTCGTTAAGCTGCGCACCAAAGGTCACTCCTGCCTGGGGTCACTCTCGCGTGTAGTCGAGAAGACAACGGCGCATCTGGGCGAATCCCGTTTAATCTGGGCAAATCCCACTTAGTCCTGTCTAATCCGGCTTAACCCCGCTTAGTTTGCGACCTAATCTGGCGTGACAGCTTCCCGATGGGGCTCCATCCTCCTCAACTCTTCCGCCGACGACCTCCCAGTAGTTGCCCCCGAAAGGTCCGTAGCCATTGTGGCTCAAGCTGCAGACCGCGGCCCGGACGCCATGTTCGGCGGGCCGGAGGGCACACTGGCGGCGGCGACGCCTTGAAGGAGGAGCGCCCGCCCGGCCGCCTGGCGCTCCACAGCTGCCTTGGGGCCGCCGGGTTGCCAGCGGTCCCCGCGGCGCCGACGGCGCAGATGCCTTTCGACCAGCTGTGGTGCTCGACCCCGTGCTGTTCCGACGGCGCGCAGCAGGAGCAGAAGGTGCCGAGCCTGCGGAGGGCGGCGCACGGCGAGCAGGAGGCCGTCGTCTGCCCGGCCGAGCCCACGCTGGCGAGCCCGCGCCCGCGCCAGAAGGACCTGCACGGCGGCGAGCTCGTGGAGAGGCCAGAGACAGAGGTGCGCCTTGGCACGAGGTGCGCCGGCCAGTGGAAGGGCGACGTCGTGCACGGCCAGGGACGGATGGCCAAGAGCGACGGCGGAGTCTGCGAGGGCTCGTTCGTGAACGGCTCCGCCCACGGCCACGGCGCGTTCACCTCCAAGCAGGGCTGCGCCTTCGTGGGCCAGTGGAGCAACGACAGCGCCCACGAGCTTGGCAGGTGCACCCTCAAGGACGGCGCCTACTACGAGGGCAACTGGGCATTCGGCTTGTAGCACGGCAGCGGCAGGGATGTGCGGGCGGGCGGGTCCCAGTACGATGACGAGTTCCGCACGGGCAACAAGCACGGCGTCGGCGTCTAGAGGCCGAAGCCCGTCGAGCCCATCCGCGAGCAATACACACTGGGCACCCAGCGCTCTATTCAGGAGGGAAAGAAACACACAGACACAATCAATCGTCGATGTTCAAAAAATATGCGAAAATATGGGAAGTGTGGGGGGGAAGACAGAAGCCCAGAACATATGGGAAAATACGGGGAATCCTGTTATTGGTGTGAATTTATTTGTGTGTCCTGGGGCTCCTTCATCCATGGAGGACTTCGTGCGCAGGGCCCGGCAGGAGGAGCACGCGCGGTGACCGCTGGTGCGCCTCGTGCTGAAAAGCGCCACCGCTGGGGTCGAGCACCGCGGGCAGTTCGTGGACGATAAGATGCACGGCGACGGCGTCTGCGCTCTGGCCAAGCAGGCCACGGTGGCAAAATGAGCTGCAAAGCGGCCGAACGCCTTCAGGTTTTTAAGCTGGCGCTCGCGCCGACGCCTCTGCGTGTTTGAGACCAGGGTGTTGCCACCCTGGCTCCTCCTCCCCCTCCTCCTCCTCCTCCTCCTCCCCCTTCTCCCTCCTCCTCCTCCTCCTCCTCCTCCTCCTCCACCACCTCCTCCTCCACCTCCTCCTCCTCCTCCTCCTCCGTAGCCATTTTGGCTCAAGCCATTTGGGCTCAAGATTTTGAGGTGGGG